ACGACGACTTGCCAGCAAACCTGCGACTTTTCCCTTTTCCCGCTTCCTTTTTGAAACTTTTCTCCCAGCTGGGCCGTGCAGGCTGATTTTCGTTATTATTACCATTTGAGCAGTTTATTTTTTTCTGGCATCTTTCTTTTTTCTCTCTTCGGCTGTCTGTTTAGCCTTTATTCCGCTTCTTGACTCGCCTCTTCCCCAGGCGTTGTTTGTTTGTTTGCTTGCCTCTTTTTTGCTGCTTCATGACCGCACTCTCGTTGCCGCTATAACGCAATTTGCAGCCATGCTGTCCCTGTTTGCTGCCATCGAAAGCGGCGACTCGATCTCCGCCTCGACCGACGACTCGTCCAACCTCGCGTCGTCGAGCTCGACTCCCCCCACGACCGTCACCGACAGCGAGAGTCTACACTCGGACACCTCGAAACACGATGTCATCACCGTGATTGACGACTCGACCGTCGTCGCGGTCGCTCCCGCCCTGCCCGCGTCCGACGTGCCATCGCCGCGCCGGCCTCAGAGGGCACGAGCAAGCCTGCCCGTCTACAACCTGGCCAAGCTCAGCGGCACCAGCGCGCATGGCAAACGCAGGGCCAAAGGCGACATTGTGGCCACTCGCAGGCGCCGGACCATTGCAGGCAGCACTGTGACGCCTGGCGACGCCGATGTCGGTGCGCTGGACCCGGCGTCTACCAACATTGACGCGTTGAATCTGGAGACTTCTCCCAGCAAACGCAGCACACCGCGCGCGCAACGCCTGGCGCGACCATCGCCACGCTCGCTGCGATCGGTGGCGCGTCTCGCTGGCCCAAATAGCGCCGCAAGTGCCGGTGCGACGCCGGTATCGTCTATTACCGCCAAGCTCTCTGCTGCCAAGCGCGGGCGCAATAACAAGGTTGTTGGTAAGCCGGTCAAACTGTCCCGCGAGTTGCGGCGCTTGCAGGACACAAAGGAGTTCAACCACATTGACGAAAATCCCGTCATTCACAGCGTCTGGTCCAATGGCAAATATGTCGACCCCAGCCAGGCCGTAGAGCGCCAGCGTGCGCGCAAGAGGGCAAAGGTCGAAGTGGCGGCCGAGATCAAGGTCAAGGAGGAGTCGGAGGAGCCCGTCGCTCAGTTCAAGAAGCGGAGGGTCAAAAAGTACCTCTCCAAGGGCCTCTATTCAGGACAAGAAGTGACGCAGGACATTACTCGAGGCCTGACAGCAAACGAGAAGAAGCAGCTGGCGCAACTGCCCGAGCTCATGCCCCGCAAGGAGAACAAGGTCATGCCCGCGCCCATCTTTACGGGCTTTCGAATCTTGTTGACTGGTCGCGATTTCAAGCTGCCGTTCCACGTCTGCAACCCGCTGCCGCCCGGACAGCCCAAGCCCGATGAGTGGAAGAAGATGACCAAGAGTATGTGCTATATTTACAAATCAATCATGCCCACGCGACCCCCCTGCTAACCATCATGCGCCTCTAGACCGATTCATCGGCGAATCCAAAGAAGTCTGGAAAAAGATGCCACACATCCTCGATTATCAGTCCAAGTGTGTGTGCAAGCCAGAGGATGGCTGTGCCGAGACGTGTCAGAACCGAATCATGCTCTACGAATGCGACGACACAAATTGCAACATTGGCAAGGCCAAATGCACAAACCGTGCCTTTGCCGACTTGACAGCCCGGCGAGCCAAGGGCGGGAAATATCGCGTCGGCGTCGAGGTTATCAAGACGTCGGACCGCGGCTATGGCGTCCGCAGCAATCGCTGCTTCGAGCCTCACCAAATCATCATGGAATACGCAGGCGAGATCATCACCGAAGAGGAATGCGAACGACGAATGAATGAAATTTATAAGAATAACGAGGTAAGCAGACACCGGAACCAAGCAGCACGTGCTTCCCTGGGGCGTTGTATCATGGGGCTAACATATCTTCTTTTTCCTTGGTAGTGCTATTACTTAATGAGCTTTGATCAAAACATGATTATTGATGCCACCACGGGCAGCATTGCTCGATTTGTAAACCATAGCTGCAACCCCAACTGCCGAATGATCAAGTGGATCGTCTCAGGGCAGCCTAGAATGGCCCTCTTTGCTGGTGACAGGCCAATTATGACGGGTGAGGAGCTCACATATGACTACAACTTTGACCCCTTTTCGGCCAAAAATGTCCAAAAGTGTCTCTGTGGACAGCCCAACTGCCGAGGCGTGCTGGGACCCAAGCCCAAGGGAATCAAGCCCATCAAGGAGAATATCAAGGTCGCCACCAAGGGCAGGGGCAAGGGCAAGGGCAAGGGAGGAAAGAGAAAGCTCAACGAGCTGACTGGGAACGAGGAGAACGTGGAGCCTGGTTCCAAGAAGCGCAAGATGCAGCCCAAACCAAAGCCCATCCGAACTCTCAAGGCCGTCAAGGCATTGCACCCTATCAAGGCGCTCAAGCCCAACAAGACCTTGAAGCCTGTCAAGGGGCTGAAGGCTCTCAAAACTCTCAAACCCGTCAAAGTGGTGAAGACCAAGCCTGCCAAGGGTACAAAGCCCAAAAAGGCCATCAACTCAACAAAGACTGCCAAGAGGGCGTATTCCAAAGTCAGCATCAAGATCAAGAGCCCGGTAAAAGCCAAGCGTCAACAGAAGAAACAGGAAATCAGCGCATCAATCACCGTCAGCGCAGCCGCTGAAATCACTGCCGTTGTCTGATCATGAGGTAGGCCTGCGTGCATATCCTGTTATCCCTGGGACGAACGACGCGATTCAACATGGCTTTCCGAAACCACTTCCTGTGTACGTTGTAGACACTGCCTGTGGCTTCTCTTATTCACCACAGCTCTTCGCTCCGGACTCTTTTTTTCGATAATACGGGACGTCCGATTGTCATCTCTCAGCAGGCAAACGACTTCTATGCTTTGGGTTGACACTTTTGTTATCATTATTTTTGGAGGATAAGGCTATTTTGATAGATTTTACCTTGTTTTTCATATGCTTTCTCTGTACTTTTTTTTTAACTGGTGAAGGATTTATTTCTTGGGCGAAGGCGGGGGGGATGAGTTGCAAAAACGGTTTGCTTACAAGTATTTGATTTTGCTTTTGTTTTTTGTAGTAAAGTTTTGGAGTTGGGGACGGCAAACATGGTTTAGGCGATAATGAGAGTTGACGATTTGGGTATTATCCTCGAAGTTCATGAGCATATGTGACCAGACCAGCCAAGTTCTCGATGCTTGGATGACTGAGAAGATGAATCTCATGTGCAGTCGAGCTGTGAGGTTTGCATGTTCAAGGAGCAGTATGCGTATGTGGTTGACCAGATATCGTTTTTGTTCACATTGGCCAGCACGGAGCATGCGTAGAGTCCAGAACCATAAGACGACCAAAGTAGGGCCCTGATTGTATACGAGGTTCAGTTGGAACAGAGAGGTTGAGCCGCGAGCTAAAGACGGCGCTGAACTGATGAGGCACTTGGGGATGACTGGGTACCTTTCAGGACTGAGCGAGACAGATCTAGCCCCGGGCATTGGGCATCCTTTCATTCGCTGTCATGAAGTCCTTACCCGGCCCAGCACTTATGATGGCCGCACTGGAATCAAGAGCAATGGCTATTGAGCATCGGAATCCATACCAGATCGAAGTATCCAGATGTCTCGTTCACATGTGTACTACGCCAATTTTGATATTGGAGTCAGCTTCTTCCCTGGCCGTTTAGTAGTCATGTCAAACCTTGCGAAACAATTGAGAAATTCTTTGATGCATTGTCATAGCACACTCGAACATTGACTATAAATTAAGGTTGGCAGACAACACACATTCAGATGTCATCACTCTGAGGCACAATCTTCAACTTCGACGTATGTCTCTCAAGTAAATCACCAGGTTTGAGCTCTACCTCACTGATTGGCCCGCCGGCCGGCTGTGCCTTTCGGGATTTGCATTTTGACACCATCAGCGGTTCTCACAGTTGGACAGAACGGTAGAGCCGGTTCTGTCCTTAAAGTAGTCATCATTCATCACGGCTCATTCGAAACCTAAGTTGAAGTCTGTTGGTCTCAAGGCTTCTGAAAAAGCTGCCTACCTTTCGCAGCGTCCAATTTGTGTATAGAGTCTTTCAAGACACTGCCTTCGAGTCGATAGTATGGTCAAAGACGTGGGGCGCGAGTTGGAGGAAAATGGCGTCTCTCGGATTCTTGTCCTGCATGTGGTCGCTACTGTTAATACTGACAGAGAGTGCTCGGAAGGAAGGGGCTACATGTTCAACCATGTCTTTTAGCTCCATTTGCCGTTTTGCCCGGGCAAACGTAAGCCTAGATGGGAAATGAGAACAAGCTTCACGAAGGAGAGGCTCGTAGCCGTCACCGAGAGGAAACACCATTCACTTGTGACAATCGCAGCGAGAGACGGCAAAGAATATGATATGAATATAATTCGGCGAAGCAGCAGACAGATTGCAAAGTCTATTAGAACCTCAACGGAAGAGGAAGAGGAGAAAATGCCAATAGAAATCATCACAGTCTGTGTTGAAAAGGGGAAAGTTGAAGTTTCGAACTGTAATCTGGAGGAAGGAAGCTGCTGTGGGCACTCTGGAGCTCAGCTGCGGTGCAATTCCGCACCACCTTCCGCACGAAGCAGTGTTGCTTGTTCCCCCCGTCAGCTGCTGCCTACGATTTCGGTGACGATCATCTTCGGTGTGCAATGGGAATATACTCGGCCACCATTATCAGAAGGATTTGTGGTATACTATTGGAAATATCCCGTATATCAAGTACATGTAGTTACAGCTTACTCCGTACACTGGTTGTGGTTGGTGAGGCGGTGGTTCCGCACCATTAGTCAGCCTTGGCATGCAAAAAGGCGATATCCCATCTCTAGGAATCAAGCCCACGATGATGTACATTCTTTCGCTTAAAACAGGCCACAATATTGTAAACAGGCGTCTGCTATAGTTTCAAGTGGTTATATTCTTCGAGACGTTTTGTAGAGAAGAAAAAAATGGACGCAAGAAATGGCGAAGATGCAAAAAAATGAAATTTTGAATGCCGTAACGAGGAATCGAACCTCGGTTTTCAGTGTTTCGCTAGGTCCACAAACTGATGTACTGTCCACTATACTATTACGGCTTGATGATTGGATGACCAGAGCGTTAGTATACCATTCTATAAAGCTTCTGAGCAAAAAGCGGCGCGTTTTGCCAAGAAATTGAGTCTTTCATTCTGTCACATGTTTTCATGATTCACTCATTTCAGTAGAATCCTACCATTACTTGAAATTTCGTTCTTTGTCATATCTCTAAGCTGTCAGCAGATCTCAATCGCGTCAAACAATGAAAGAGTAAAGTAAGAAAACGCATTACAGTAAAAGATTAATCCAAGAAATTGCATATTCATCATACAATTCATCAGACAGAGTCTGTGGATGTCGAATTCTCCGGTCAATCTCACATCCTTGCAGGGTAGGTAAGCTGCACTCATCGATATACTGCCATGCTACAGCCACAATAGATAGAGTGGGCGGCGACGACCCTTGGAATAAAATAACCTCAGCCATGCGATGGCCCATAGCTCCTTTCTATTTTTCTCCTGATCTATACAAAAGTGGCGATGGATTTGGTTGTCTTGACCCGTTCATGTGATTGTGATATTTAAGCATAAAGCCCAACATTAAAACAAGTGGGTGGGCACACATGAATGGGCTATGCAGTTATCCTATTCGTACGCCATATTGGTGATAATAAGATGAGTGCGTCAAAATAATGCCATGTACATGTCATGGAGCTGTGGTGATGTGGTGAAAAGAATGATGCAGTCTGTCGTAACTGCTTCCCAGCCAAACCGCACCCCTCCCCCTCCAACCCTGGGATAACCGTAATTGTATAGCTAATCACTTTGTATATACTATGAGGCTGTTCCTATAAATATCTACTAAGTGCTATTGAAACTTGGTTAAAACCATGAAACATACAAGGCGATTGAGAATGGACAACATTTCACGAGGATGCAAGTGTCCACTCGTCGCCGCCAACAGCGATGGAGCCTTGAGAACAATCCATCACCGTTTCAGTCATAAGAGTCAAGTTTATGAGCTATTTCGCCTATTTTCATAATGTCCTAATATTTCTCATGGCTTCCATCCAATTGGAGTCCAGTACGGCGTAGCGTTGGACAACAATGTCCACGTCACAGCAACGCTCTAATCAAGGGGTAATCTAGACCCATCAGCGCCATCGCGAGGATTTTTACACTTTTTGGGTTTCATCTTCATAGACTTTCTCTTCTTGGCAAGGCAAATGGCCGTTTGCCTACCGGGCTCGCCGTTGCTGCATATGACTCCATCTCAGCCACGCTTTTACAAGGCTAACAAGCTAAGCTGGAGCGCCACGCCGGCTAAAACGCCAAAGTGTAAGAAGGCAGCCAAAACCATATTCATTTTACCCACTTGCGCAAGGAAGAAAAAGAGAAAGATTCATCATTTTCATCCACTTTGCGACCAAATAGCTGTAGTGCTCGCTCGGTGATGTCCCACTTGCCATGAGTGAGGCGATTAACACTGCCCCCTGCAGGTACAGTCTTGAGCCTCATCTCATCTGTTGAGCCTCACCATGTGGAGGCAGGAGACCTCCTTTCGTGGAAGGGTATCAGCGCTTACTTACGGAACTTTGCAAGTGAGAGCTCGCTTAAGGCTGTACAAAGATGATTGCGTTCGTAGGATGGCATGTTGAGTCACGTCGCTCTGGGGGAACTGCAGTCACCAAGGCTCGCGGCAAAGGATGCTACATGTTGGTATGATTGAGCACAAAAGGCTGCTCAACATGGAGTTAAAATTTGTAGGAGCTATCTAATCGAAATCATCAAAACAGAAATCCAGTCAAAATAACAAATGTCCACCACCCTGTTCATTAACCAGAAAAGAAACCGGCATCGTCTCGCAATTGTGTGTGGCCATCTCCAACAGGCATAACACGCTCCAAGCCTCGCTCCAAGATATGCTGTGGCCTTGCAGAAACACCGACTGTTGTGGAAGCTTTGGGATTTTGCTGCAGAGCTGTATGAAGAGGGAGGCCGGCTGGTGAATTGACATCTTGCAATGTAATGTTGGCGGCTTCTCCCATCTCATCCTTCCCACCGAAAATGAAAACAAGAAGCAAAATGCAAAAAATAGGGTATAAAAAAAGAGGGAACAGGTGTGGACTTTTTGGGCCAAGTAGCAAGTATGAACGCCAAAATTAACAGTTGTAACCAGCCTCCAGAGGTTCAAGAGAGTCCAAGGGATCATTTGAAAGGCTTAGCAGGGCCGACAGAATCTTCGTAGACGCTGCAGTTTGGGCAACGGGGGTGTTGACAATCGTGCTCAGTACACTGAGGGGTTGTGTCCTTGACCATTCCAGCCATGCCACATCGGCAGCACTTCCAGGTCTTGACGACGACAGTACCGTTACCACCCATTGTTCTGGATTTTGTTGTTGATAAGCGCTGCTAGAGCGAATTGCAGTCTGATCTCGATTCGAGATCAGCCCGTGGAATTATTAAAAATGATGCTGGAAAACTGTTCGTTGGTGACAGTGAAGTTGGTAGAAGTGAAAGATCGCTTATGATGTTTTCGATGTGTTTGATGTTGCGAAAACTGGAGAGAGGAACATGGACTTATATATCAAATATTGCCTTACTATTCAACTTCACGCAAGAGCGCAAGGCGAATGAAGGCGAATGAAGGCGAATGAAGGCGGGCGGTTGAAAGTTCGGCAACATGATGGGGAGTTTCCCATAGCTTTTCGGTCTGCAAGCGCCAGACGGTAGGCCGGTAGCTTGCCGGTGGGAAATGTAATAACACTATCATATTGACTGGCGAGGGACGGTGTTCCGCGGCCGACTCCTAAGAGGATACAGAGCGAAATATGTACCGAAGACGTAATAGTCTTATTTGGTACCACTGAATCTCTCGAAAAGGCGATGGCGCAGCTACTCGCCTTGCCCTATATCCCAGGAAGCCTTGCAGGGAGGCGGCATCAGGTGAGGAGATGAGTCTGCGTTTCTTATTCGGTGATGCTGGTACTGGTTTGAGAAAAAGCAGGAAAGTATTGTGTATGGGCCGGTTATACTCGGTAAACACTTGGTGCACCCATCTGACCTCCAAGTTGTCGCCGATGCTATTCCGATCCGAACAAGGCTGTGTGAGCTTAGATCACTTGGAGTTTACCCCAGCAAGGCAACTGAGTTGCTGCTCTTGCATTGTGAGGGATGGGAATCTTTCTCTCTGCTCCTATTCTCTCTTTCTCTATTCTTTTATTCTTTCATCTGTGTTGTGTGTTTACATGCTCGTAAACGCTCTCTTTGTAGGAAGACAGCCATCGTCGTGTGGTCCGTGAAGGAAGACTACTATCAACGTTTAAGAGAATTCGACAAGGAGGAGTCTTTTCTTTTGAGTCTCTAGAGGAGTATGAGCGATGTGTCTTATATGGGACTCGGTATCATACTCATCTACTGAAGACTTGCGCAAGAATGGCAGTCCCAAGCTGACTCATGTATTGACACAGGAGCAGCAGATGCAGCAGCGAGAGAATAAGAAAAGAACAATTATATGCAGACGTGGAGAGCATAGATGGGTGGGTATTTATATATTTATACAACAAGCAGAATGCGAGCAGCTCTCCAGCTGTAATTGTCACGAGAGATAGGAGAGCCTCATGATGCAACCCTAGCAGGATAGCCTCAATTTTGAAGCTGCCTGCGTGGCAACATGGGCTGGATTGTATGGATTGTTGGATGCTCAGGTAGTATGGGAAAAGAAATTAAGTCCCAAATAGTACGTGGCTGCATCCGGCTACGAGAAGAAGGAATTTGAGGGTGTTGCCGTTGTGTCTGGTTGGGGGAATTTCCGGCTGAAAACAGCCTTGAAGCCTTGTGCAGAGCCGCATGCCGCATTATCGAATGGGCTGCAGAGTGTGGGGGCGGGGGGAAAGGAACAAATAGATAGGTAGGACAAGCAAGGGTAAAGAAGGTGGGATGATGCAGAAAAAAAAACAAGGTATCAAGGCATTGCAATTGTTGAAGCGCGAACTATCGTATCGCGATATCTTTGATGAAAGGGCAAAAAGGATGTATAAGAGCTAGAGTGTTAGTAAGAGGCAGAATCTTTTTGGCTTGTGCCAGGATTTTCCACTGCCGGCCGTTTAGCGCTGCAAGTTTAAATGAGCTGCCCGAGCTTAGCAAGGAAGGCAGGCATGGGTGACGACATGACGTCAACCTCTAGCACTGTGTACTGCCATTAACCCACTGCATATCTATACAGTGCGGATAGACATCGATTGGTCATCTCCCGCTACCGGGATCATCGCCAAGTAAGATTGCAAACAAATCATCCCCATTTCTCTTGCAAGTTTCATACCCGAAACACCAGATCGAAGAAGAGCAAAGCTGAGCAGAGAAGGGCAGAAGGGCTGCGGTCATGATGCCGCCATGTCGCGTCCGCATCACAGCAGTCGCTCCGGCACGCGATGGGCAGTGCGCATCATTCCCTTGTTCATCGTCGGCATTCTCGCCGTTGCGACTTACGCCGTCGTCGGTCGCCTCTGCAGTAAATCTCGACCCTGACCCTCCCTCACCCTCTCCTAAAGACGATGACCGGATTCCTAACCTCAATACTCGTTTCTAGTCAGCTTCCTCTACAAAAGAAAACACCAGGATGGCGTTGTCACGGCGTTCCTCGTCCTCTATTTCCTCTTCTTCATGTTGATGGCCGCCGCCTATCTACGAACCTTCTTTACAGTCCAACTAAACCCGGGCGTCGTCCCTCTGGCCCCCGAGGATCAGAGCGAGCGCGAGGCGGCCGAAAAAGTACGAAAGCGACATAAACGCAACCGAGACGTCGAGGAGAGGGCATATGTACCTCCGGACCCAAACCCGGACAGTCCCGGCCTCGAAGCATTCTACAGCAAGGATGTCTTTGTATGCGAGGTCGATGGCCGTCCTAAGTGGTGCTCAGAGTGCCAGCAGTGGAAGCCAGACCGTTCGCATCACTCGAGCGACCTAGGCCGCTGCGTCAGGAAGATGGACCATTTCTGCCCCTGGGTTGGGGGCATGGTCTCTGAGACTTGTAAGTGTTACATGTAGTCCTTGTTTTATAT